TACATATTAAATAGAAGAAAATACTGGTTACAAGCAGAATCAGAAAATAAAGTGAGATGACATCAGGTCATCTAGAACAATCTGCTTGAGTGCTTCTGCAGATGAGTCTCTGCAAAGTAACATTTTATTTTACTCTCCATGAGCTCAGTTCCCTGTCATCGTTCTTACTGACAGCCATCGGCCACTGCTCCCTGCCTGTCACTGCTCTTGTCCAAGGACATCCTTACTGTCTGTGGTTCTGTCCAGCCTTTCATGTAGTCCAGCACATGCACACCCACAGGCTTCACTCAGTTTTTGTGCCCTCTGAAATAAGTTGCCAAAATGCTCTTCACCTTCCAGCCACCAAGTAGCTGGTATTGATGACAGTAGTCAAGCAGAAAGTTGTCCATTTTCTTTATTTAATGTCTAATTTTTTTAAATAGAACAGTTCTAGGATGCCTAAATATAAAACATGCATTATCATTCAGATTGGAAATAACCTACTATATACGCTTTCTTTTGTGGATTACTGCTTCCTTCCTAGGGCTTTTCTTTCTTCACTTAACAGAGCTGATTCTGTATCAATTCGGAATATTTCCATATTGCTCTCCTGGTCTTGATTTATTGATTTGGATCTGTTTGGTCTATCTTGTTATATTTTACAGAGCAAATGATAACCTGAGAAATTATTGAAAAATAATTTCAGGACACTGTATCCTAAAAGAAAAGAAAAAATTCTCTACTTCCAATATAGGATAACCTAAATAATAGGTTTTTAGAAAAATTAACACTGAGTGACCTTATGAAAGAAATAAATGGAGGAAGTTACGGTAGAGGCCTCCATCTTCTTATTTGTAAGAGAACATGAGGGGATGAAACAAGCCTCTCTGCATTCCATGTAAAAAGGATTCCTACTCATTAACACATAAAAACGCTGATGGATAATTAAGTAATTTGGGAGACAGACCATGCATATGGGAAGAATTTTTGGTATTTTATGACCCCTTCCACTGACCTATGTAATTACTGTGCTGCTGGCTAACACAGCAACATAAAACCTCTGTGAACATCGCCATTATGAAGTCCATTCCCGTTCTAAATTACCTTTCTTTTCATTTGTTACCCAGGGATCAAAAAAACCGTTGTTAAATTCTGTTATTCCTTTCAATGCTATTAAAAAGAAAAAGAATCTGTAAAGTTTATTAAGTAATCAATTTCTAAGCCACCTACAATGTAGTATAGAAAACAGAGCCAACTTATATTTGGCAAGAACAATTTGTGTCAAACCAATCTAATTTCCTTTTCTGACAAGGAAAATGGCTGAATGGATAAAAAGAAGCAGATGTGACACTTTTATTATAGTCACATTTCTTATATGTGGCATTCTTATAAACACTACTTATAAATCATAGGACTATATTAGAATACATGGATGCTGTCACCCTGAGCTGGACCAAAACTTACTGGGGAAAAAAAAGGAGTTTAAGGAATAGCTGTTAATGATTTGCTCTTGGATAAGGAGAGTGTCTCAAGTGAAGGTTACTAGAAGCTGTCCTGGGACCTAGCCAGTGTGTTCATTTAGGCTTCCAGCTTTTGCAAAAGAGAAATTGCAAATGTATTGACACCAAGGTGGGAGGGAATTTCAGAAATTTGGAGGTTAGTCCCACTGTCATCTTGAGAAACTGCAGGAGGAGTCCAAAAACGGAAAAGTTGAGCTTCAGTAATAACAAATGAAAAGTCCTATACTTGGGAAAATGAAATCGAATGTACAAAAGGAGAATAACTCTCTGGGCAGCACTGCACAAAAAATGGGACTCACATAACTTCCTAAACTCTTCCATGTACTGACATTGTGAATTATGCAATTTTTATGTAATCCCAATGGTAAATGTAGTTTTCTTGTGATGTCTTTTTCCTCTGAAATGAATTTAACCCATGCTTTTCAGTCAGGAATTTACCTTTAAAGTCTCTGAGCTCACTTGTTAAGTTGACAAAGATTAAAAACTAAAAAATGAAAGACAGTACAAATTTCTAATGATGGAGAAAAGGGACAAAAACTGGTCATGTGCATCCAAGGTAGGAAGAACAGGATGTGCACCTTAAGACAAGAAGTATCTATAAACTATTTGGTCGCTTAGGTTGGCTTAGGAACCTGATAACGTGATAGGGACACCTCAAACTCCAGTAAAGTAACCTGTGTACTCAGAAAAAGTTCATGTCTAAGTCATACAAAATTCAGTTAGCAAACATTTACACGACGGCAACATTTTGCATTAAATTTGCAGGAATATGAATCTGTGGGCAGAAAAGGCAATTATAATTTAGGAAAACATTTAATCACTTGTAGGTACTTAAATACTTTTCTGAATAGATGTAAAGTATGTTGTTTCCTGAGTTAGGGATTATAATTTAAAGTCATTGTTGTGATTCCACATCTAAGTGATAGCAAGTGGGTGTAAGGTGAAGGTCTAGAAGTGGAATTTAGATGCTTAAAGAGCTTCAAAAATCTGAACCTAAAAGAAGAAACAATTTTCTTCACAGATATGAAAGTATAAATAGGAGCGGCATGTAAAACTCATAGGTTTTGTTCTTGAATATGATCCTCTCTGGAAGAAATTAGACTTTAGCTGGAGTGAAACAGTAGCATTCCAAGCCAGTTAAGGTGAATTGTCAGGAGATGTATCTGCAACCTTAAATGCTTTCTGCAGTATACACAAATTCCCACCCATTTCTCTCCACTGCTACCTTGCAGCATTAGACCTTGCCAAACCTAGATCCTGCTTACATGCTCACAAACTTTTCATGGTACCTGGACATGGAGAAAACTGCTCACTGGAGTACTAACTTAAATACACGCTGACTTAAATAACATCACGAGTAATACCCTTGCCAGCTGACAGTCTGAGAAGTCTGCGGGATATAGCAGCTGTCCCTCCAGCTCCATGCTTTGGCCAACTCATCAGCTTCCACTCAACATGCACTCCTAGCACCTCACCTAAACTACGCCCATGGGTTTTGGGCCTCTGCACAACAGGAGAAGATGATTCTCTAGGAGCAGAAGGACTTTTTGCCACCCACAGCATACACATAAGCAAATAACGCTGGTGTTAGGCTCTTTCACCACAGTAGTGCAGAGTCCTGCACTGCTTAACTATTTTCTGCCAGTTTGGGCTCCTCTGTGCCACACTGGAATATGTGGAATTATGGTCTTCCTTACACTGTGGACCATGACCACAGGCGTGCAAGTCACAATGGTCAGTAAGTGGCTCTGCAGTTAAGCTGTTTAAGCCTTGAACTGTATTACAGGGACAAGGACATGGAAGTGTTTCATGCCTAACAGAGAATCAAGTGCTGTTAAAAGGTCTTGCATGTGAAAGCTGGTCTGGTCCTGTGCTAAATGTGCCATGGGGCTAAAATGGGGTGTAGTTTCCAAGTGGTCAGTCTAGCACCATTCCTGAGCTTTACACTCACTTTAAATTAGCAATTAGCAATTTAAAAATAAGTATTACAGAGAAATATGATCTTACAAAGAAAGTATAATTTACATTTTTCAACTCACACTATTTGTTTTGATAACCCATGAAAGTCCCTGCTCTGCAAGGCCCAGCTGAAAAACAATTCTGCAGGACAAGAACTCATCTTAAGTCTTTGGTGTTCCTGCCAGGAAGATCTTGATAGACAAGGAGCACGATCTCTCTCAGCACTAAGAGTTGTACCATTCATAAATGACAGTCATTTTGGACATTATGTGCCCCCACGGTATTTTAAAAATCCTATAGATGTTTAAATAAATGCTTTTATCTTCTGCAACCATGCAGGTATCAACATACACAATGCCTACAGAAAGACACCGGATAAAATGATTATTTTTAGAATTTCCTCACTTCATAAACCAGTACAATAGCTATGATGCTACAAATAACTCACTATGAATTCTTCTTACAAGCAAACAGAGGAAGTGTAAGTTTAGGAAGAGACAAGGAGTTCAGAAGAGACAATATGTTAAACTCTGAGGTTTAGTATGGTTAGGAAAAATATAAATATTAGCTTTACTTTGGGTCAGTAAAAATATAAACAACATTTTATTCTATAAATCAATTTGAATCTTGGGCAGAATTGCCTGGCACTCAGTAACCATCAAGGAGCCCAAGTTTTGTCCAAGATAAAAAGCACAAAAGCAGTGAGCTATTAAATTTGTGACCAATTTTCTGAGCTTTGGAAACATATTTATGCAATTACAAAACTGGGGTTTAGTTGGATGATATATTTTTTGTTTGAGACTCCCACTTGATTATTTTATCAAGGCCAGGTTGGACGGGGCTTTCGGCAACCTGGTCTGGTGGAGGTGTCCCTGCCCATGGCAAGGGGGTTGGACTGGATGAGCTTTAAGGTCCCTTCCAACCTAGACCATTCTGTGATTCTGATTTTATGGTTTTAGGAAAGAGTTTTAGCTTTTCTCTTCTGCAGTATTGCATATTCTGCCAGCAAAGAAGCGATAAAGTCACAGCAGTTTAGAACTGCTGGCGGTGAGTTGGTTTTGTGTGTTTTTCTCCAATTCGTATGACAAGTTGAAGAGCTTTCATAAGAAATGGAGTGTCAGCCATCTGATCGCAGCTGGCTTTGTAAGTGTGACTTAAATAGCAGGAAATGTCTGAATTGGTATTAGGTAGTTAAGGTGAAAAAATAAGTGTGTTGGAAATGGTCTCTGAAGGACTGTCAGCAATTTCTTTTGGGGCTTTCTTGAAGCATTACTACATTGAGCCCTACTGCTGGGTGTCTGAGGAGTAACTTCAGCTCTCTGTAGATCAGCATCCTCCTATTGGCCTCCCTCCCACTGAATGGGCCTCATTCTGCTGTGGATCCCTACCAAGAAACTTAATAAGTAGCTCCTAATTTCCCTCTGGCTATATTTTAGAAGATGTATTTGAAGACACTTAATAAGCTACAACCAGTGATTTCCAAGCTAACTAGTGGTCCAATACTGTGATTTTACAGGCATTTTTTGATGGACTCAAACTTACCTATAGTGCTGCAATTCCAATTCTAGCTGCTGAATGTGTATTTGCAGATGTGGCACTTCGTTAGCTTTCACCTCTAGCTCCTTCACTTTGCCAAGACTGTTAAGGACAGCGTGTCTCGCCTCTTCAACCTTCTTCCTCATTTCTGCTTGTTCCCTCTTCAGGTTACGGTTGCAGTCTTCCAGATTGACCAGAGCTTCCTGAGAGCTCTTCAGCTCTCTTTCCAACTCTTGATTGAACCTGATTGCTTCTTCAATTTGCCCATCCCTGGAGCTCCGGATGAGTTCCACTTCCTTCAGGACACTTTGAAGACACTTGGTCTGGGAGTGGTTCTGCGTTAACGGTCCCTTACTCCCTATAACGCAGCTCCCCTCTTCTTTGCGGCTAGCATGGCTTTTCCGCAGTCCTACCTATAATGAACAGGAGGAGAAAGCAGGGAGAAATTAATGTATTTTAAAGCAACTGACATTTTAATCAAGACTGAAAATGACTGGATTGTGTTTTGTTGTTGTTTTGGGTTTTTTTAATGACATATGGTTGATCAGCAACTAATGACCTACTTACCTTTGCAAAATACAGAGACAGGGAAACAATCTCTGGAAAGTAGTTTTAAATACATATCTATAAATTTAACTTTAAAGCTACTCATTAAAGTTGAAAGTTAGGTTATTGGACACGTTTCTTTACAGCTTTAATGTCATTACTATAGTCTGTCGTCAAAAGGCAGAACACTACTTGTACTCTGAAAAACAGTATTTCCAGTTATGTTTTGAAAGTCGTGTTCTGTAGAAGTGAAGAGAGAGCAGCTGGTGGGGGTCTGGAGCTCTAACCTTTGTCCTGATGCTTTCTTGGGCCTTTGGTGACTTTGTGTTGCTTCTGGCTTCCTTCCACTTTTCAAATGAAAGTGGTAAAACTGGCTTTCACCTGCCACGCTGGACATTGTGAAGATGGACAGGCAGCTAATGCCAGTGGAAGTGTCACACGTGGAGCAGAGCTCCAAGCGCTTGGTTAGCGTTAAACCCAGCCTGACCACACAAGTGAACTCAGCTCTCCAGTGCTTTGCCTTTCTATGCTAGCTCATGCCAGAATAGGTTAACTACTGTTAAGCATGTCTGTGTTTCACTTGAGCCAGTACAGCAGAAACGGAAACCAGCCCCAGGATTAATGGGGCTCTGCAGAGAAGCTGGAGACCACTCATCAGCTCATCTGCAAAACTGGCTCCAACTCTGAATCCTCATCACCACACTCCTGAAGAAAACACACTTCTAATGTTTCTGAGGCAAAGCTCACAGGCATTTATGACTGAGCCATCACATATGCTTGCACAGTTAATAATCCAAAAGTTCTTTCAAGTTTGCTTTGTAAAAAACCCATAACGGCGCATAACTGGTATATCACTGACTGAACGCATATGCAATAGAAAAAGCAGCACTATAGACTTAGGTTTGTTAAACTGACATCTTCTACAATTTTAGCAGGGTGGTTTTCAGTGCATCCTTTATATAGTGACACACTGGTGTCACATCATTTCTTCTTGGAGACTATGTAACTAACCTTTGCTAAAAAGTTACCGCTGAAGACGGAACAGCAACCCAGGTCTCCGCCACACTCCTTTTATAAAATCTGGGGGCGGAGAGCTTATTAACGCTGTATTTTGTCCAGAGCAGCATCTTTCCCAAACTCCTTTCTAACCAAGGGTAAGTTGAGCCGCAGCCCCGGCAGCGGCCGGGGGCAGTGCCGGGCCACGCACTTACCTGCAGGGCCAGGCAGCGGGCGTCGCTGCTCTGCAGGGCAGCCCGCATGTCCTCCACCAGCTCCCGCAGGCTGCTGTTCTCCTCCTCCAGCTTGGCGATGCGGTCCTCGGCCCGCTCCAGCGCCA